GCTCCTGCCTTGGAGGGTGGCTGAAAAGACCTGGAGACAGACTGCCAAGGCGCTCCGATTGGCGAGTGTAGCGATGCTTGGAAGAGCATTGGAAGGGGGAAGAGCGACTTTACCGGGGCAGATGACAAAGAATGGCCACTTCACGTAGATTCGGCATGGACAGGCCTTCAAGTGAATGCGTAGACCAGCGAAAGAGAACGTTTGTACTCTGCACCCGGATTGCCCACCAGAAACCATGGTGTCGAGTTGGATTTGCCAGGTGCCCGATTTGCCGCCAAGCAGTGGCCGGGGTTGGGAAGAACCACTCCCTGGATGGCATGATCGAGAGCCTTCTAAAGGCAAGCGCTGTTCCATGTCAGCCCAGACTCAGGCCTCTCTTGTCAGTTTTGACTATGGTGGAACCCAAAGTCAATGGATACTGTATTGGGCGCTGATCATTGGGTGCGCCCAAAGCATTTGACTTGATAGCACTCAGCCTCTAGGAACATCTGCACTTTGCTTCCACTCTCAGGGACTCCAAATGCGCAAGTCTCCTTCACATTGGATGTCGTTTGGCTGACTTGGGAGTGAAGCGAAACTAGGGACCTCTTCCAAACGGTGGATATCATGTTGCTTGGTTTGAACGCGACACATGGATATCGGATAGGCTTCGAAGGGAGACAATAAAAGGTTGATCGCCCACAAATCATTAATTCTGGAGGGAAAGCCCATTCAAAAGCAACATCAATTCTGAAGGGCAAGCCCATGAGCAAAAGCGTTAAATCTAGCGGAACAGCCCTTCAACAAAAGCCACCAAGCAGGCCCGGCAACGGAATACACAGCGCATTATATAATTGATTCAGGGGGAAAGCCCGTTAAATAAGCAATTGCAATAAATCTGGAGAAAACAGCGAGAACGCCCATTTAAAGAAGCAAGATCAGTAAATCTCGAAGGAAAGCCCAAGGAGAAAAATAGGGGACGGCCCAGTTTGTTTAAAAAAGGCAAACAACAAACACACACGCACGCACATGGAGGACGTCACATCAGACACATGGAACAAGACAGATGATACCCGGCGGGAAAGCCCATCAAAATCATGTTATTTCTCCGGAAATTCTTGGATATGTTTGAAGGGGAGGCATTTGAAGGGCGACATTGGGCCACCTGAACATCCTTTCGCGGATGCCAGGCGCATCCGGACAAGCAGCGCTCTGCGGCTGCGCTGGCGGATCTTGATGGCCGAGATCCGCTTCATGCCCCTTGCTTGGGCCAGGGAGTGGAAGAGTTCCAAGCCTCCATTATTTTAATGTTGTCATGACAGTCTATCTTTGCTTCTAAGAATCCTCCCAGCTGAGAGGAATAGTATGCAGAGCAAGCCTTGAGAACCCGGCAGCAAAAGGGCCACATTGGGCACGGTCAATCATTTGACTAGGAGCACATCCTGGCACGTCTTTTGGGAAGCAAGCATGCTTCTTGAATGTTTGAAGTACCAGCATCATAAGTAGCGAGTTGCGCTTTCTGCGTTTGGTTGCCATTTCAATCTTGACAGCCCGAAGGAGAGGCCAATTCGATGTCGGTCTTTGAGTTAAGGCCTTGAATGTTTCATATCTTGTTTCTGGACAAGCAGCTGGTCAGCGAACTGTGGTGATTGACGGTTGGCAGGAAGCTTCCTTGGAGGTTGCGTGTGGACATTGGGAGGTATGCTTGCGGTTTTTTGGGGACACCCATCAATTCCTCGCCAAGAGATGTTCAATGGTCCAAGCACCGAAAAGTCCATACAGGCAAGAGGCTTTCTCAGTTGTGAATCTAAGCGAGGGCGGGGCCGTAGAGCGTGGAGCCCTGCAAGCGGCAAACCTGAGGACAGCGGCTACGACCTTGCCAAGATCCGTGGTCCTGGGGACCCGGCAGCAGGTGGGAGGCGTTTCTTTTCTCAGAGAAGCAGGCGAACTCGCCAGTCATTGACAGTATATCCACTGTTCATCAACCCCTCCAGCATTGTGAGGGCTTCTATGGGGAACCATAACCACGAGCCTTCTCTATATGGATCATCGCACATGTGGTTGCGGGTGACATTGGGGAGCTGGATGCTGTACTGGGACGGTTTGGCCACACCGCGCCCACATGCCATAGACCACAGGCAAGGCCAACGGAAGCTTCAGCCAACTGGATCATCAAGGGGTCACTGCCCGAAAGATGGTGACACAGATATTCTGAGGTTAGTACGATCTCACTGAAGTGTTTGAACATTTAATTGTAGTTGGCGCCATATTGGAAGAGATGGCAATGTGGTAAGCCAAGTGTTTGCGGAGGTGGAGGGAAGGGCCTTTTTTTGCCAGGTCTGCTGCGCATCACGGTGGCTGCCGCTGCGGCCGCAGAAGCTATGGATGCTGAAAGTGAGCTGCTGTCTTAGAGCTCCGGCAAAGGCTGTGACTCATCGTACTTGTTGAGTGCTGTACTTTGACCTGGCCTGGGCGGTACAAAGTTACATCGGGCTTCGAACATCGCTCAGCATGGCACGCCAGCCAGAAAACTCAGATGAAGATACTGCGAAGAGATACCTGCAACTGCTGAGGAGTTATCACCATGACTCTGAAGACTCCGAAGAGGCCTACATTTTGGTTCTCCAATTCAATGCTTTTGTTGCGCTGGAATTCCACCCCATCGCAGGAAGAGCCAGGGTGCCGACCTTATTGGCTGTTTGCATTTGAATACATGCATTGATGTCTTCTGGCGCATGTACCAGTGCAAAACTCACCAATGGAAACGATCACGCACACGACATACCAGATCATTGAGCCTAAAATGCACTTGTCAGGCCATATCAGGATTATCACATTGATGGACGCTAAATCAGCGCTCGCAGAAGACTGATAAGGGTACACACAGAAGCCAATGCCCTGGGAGATGCAAGCTGAATTGAGATGCAAGCTGAGATGCACCGTTGCTGGACGGTCCATCGCACATGCTGCCTCAAAGTTTTGCTGAATAATTCTGACGCGGGGAAGATGCGATTCAGTATCATCTGCAAATAGGCTTCATGAATCACAGTTGGCCAGGCAAACGCAATGCTTGGAAGGTGTCGAGACCGAGGGTGCCCCAAACATTGCACATCGGCTCTGTTGTAGCATGGGCCGAAAAGCCGACCCTATATTTGATACATTTCCTGCCGGTGCAGCTGGAACGCCTTGGCATGGAAGACATTTGCAAATGGATGGCCATTTGCCTGAGGCATGCGTGGACCGCGCCTGGAGTGCCTTTCTGAGAGAGACGCTGCTACATTTTGCCATTCCACACACACACACACGACACTTGAGGGAAGGTTCCTGGAAACCGCTTTTCCTTGAAAGAGACCAGACATGAGGCCGTGCGACCTCCTTGCGTGAACTGTGGTCTTCCAGCATGGCGACCTTTGCGCCGGTCCCTGAGTCGTTAAGGGCGGGTACAGTGACTATAAGTTTAAATGCGACACCCTCTCAAGACTGATTGGTGGGCCTGAATCCTCCTGTAAATGATGTTCACCAAAGGGTCCAACCGAAAGTCTCCCCAGGTCTGGTTATTTGGGTATGGGTCAAAATTAAACCACTAGGGGACCGCGGGTTTTAGTTCACGTTTCCACTTGCCAGGGTTCCATTTTGGGTACCTATTTCTGACCCACAGCCATTGGGGAATTGTCTCAACCACAACCCGCGGGTTTGACCATGTGTTGTCTGGGCTCCAAACGCGTAGCTCTCCTGGCTCTTCAAATGCGTGCCGGATGTCCAAAGTTTCGGACTGCGTGGCTTCCTTGTGTTCCTTGAAACCATCCCAACAGGGGTCCTCCATATTGAGAAGACAAGGGCATTCGGGCCTTCCTGGTATCTGTTTGGAGGTTACACACACACACACCTGGGACACACCTTAGCGTCCGTTTGAAGTGCAAACAGCTCGAAGGTTCAGCGGCGGATGCCATGCTGGCAACGCCCATGTCCGCTACGGCCGTGGCCAAATCAGCTTTGGCCAACAATAGCGTCGAGCAGGAGATCCTCCAGGTGCGATGCAATGCTTGCCGGTGGTTTGGTAGTTTGGCAGTTTGGTGGTTTGGTCCTTTGGTCCCGTGGTCCCATGGTGCTTTGGTGCTTTGAGAGTTCGGACATTTGGTGCTTTGGTCCTGTGGTCCTTTGGTCGGTTGGTCCTTTGACAGTTGTGTCCTTTGGTAGTTTGGTGGTTTGGTCCTTTCGTCCTGTAATCGTTTGGTTGTTTGGTTCTTTTGTCGTTTGGCCCTTTGGTCGTTGGTAGTTGGTTGTTCGGGCGTTGGTCCTTTGCTCATTAGGTGCCTTGGCGTTTGGTCCTTTGGTCGATTGCTCATTGGTCGGTTGGTCCTTTGGTCCTTTGGTCCTTTGGTCCTTTGTCCTTGTGTCCTTTGGTGGGCTTTGGTCCTTTGTTTCTTTGGTGGCTTTTTGGTTTGCTCTTTGGTCGTTTGGTTGTAGACCATGCGGTCGTTTATTTTTTGTCAATCCTGTAGTCCTTTGTCCGTCCTTTAGTCGTTTGATCTTTTTGGTCTTCTGGTCTCTTGGTCCTTTGGTTGTTTGGTTGTTACTCTGTGATGAGGTACCGAGATCATGTGGCTTTGCATCAAACAGGGAGACAAACTGAAGTGGCTTGTTTGATTTTGATGTTCCTTGAAGCAAACCCCGGTCCGCCTTAACACCTGACATGTGCCTTTTTTGACAAAATGGGAAGATTGCCATTTTGGAGCTTCCCGTATTGAATCGGAGTTTGGTTTCATGTCAGGCTTTCTGTAGGAAACCAAGCCGCAGGAGTGGCTTCACTCCAGGGGCATGAGCCTGAAGGAGGCGCCGGGCGCGGCGCAGCGGAAGCGGTCGTTGGGGCAATTCTTGGAACGTCTACAAAGACACGTCTACATGCGCTGTGTTCATCTGATCTGCTCCAGGTCCAATGTCAGAACTTCGGCTCCCATCCTTCTAGATGGTGTTGCTTGCCTGGTGAGAACGTGAAAAAGGCCAACTTAAGTCTTTCAGATGGCCGCTAGCGTGAAGCAGCAATTGTATTGGTGTAAATAATGCAGCTACCTAGATGCCAGATGACTACTGAAACCGTGAACGTCTTGGCACACAGCCAATTAAGGTGCTGAAAGTACTTGTCTTTCAAAGTCCCAGAGCAAATCCAAAGACATGAAGTTCTTGAAGTCTCTGGGAACAATAGGGTCCAACAATGGGATGTCATTGTGTCGTTGTCTCCAGCAATGATCAGGCCATGTCCTCCTGTCAAAGCTGCCTCGTTGAGGAGTAGCTCGATCGTTTTCGAACGGCCTAGTGCGCGGGTGTTTGCGTGCGCGTGCGTGCGTGTACGCGAGCGTTTGTCTCCCAGAATCCCACAATTAGTTCCTAGATCCTAGTTTGGAGACAGCCAAATGGGAGGACCAACCGGTATTGTGAGGTATTTTAGTTTGAGGCCCTGAATTTTGAAGCTCCCTTAATGACGATGGACGGCGCGGTTCACACGAGGCGATCTTGATGCTGCTGGCAGACCCCAACCCGGCAGTGCACTAAGGAAGACGTGGGGCTTTCCATAGGCGACATAACTTTGTTTGGCGTGAGTGAATTGGGAAGACCACAGCTATCCTCTCCAATTTCTAGAAAGGTTTGACCCTGGCCCAAACGGAAGCGTGGAAGTGCCATGTGGTGAGTGGTTCGCCCAAGGAAGGCGTTCCCGCAGTTGTCATCCGCCCACATGCACCTGCAGGAGGAGGGACTAGTGGGACTTTGCACAAGAAGCATCCATTTGAGCATTTCTTATACTCGCCGACCCCCTTTTGGGATGGTTTTTGGCAAGAACCAAACAGCAAAACTGCAATTTGGCACTACCTCTCTCTTTTTCGGACACACCCGTTTCAATCTCCTGATTTCATTGCTTCGTTCATTCCTCTTGCGAGCATTGGCCAGCGGTGCGATTTGCGCGATGTTTGTGCTGGGCAGCGTGCACATATTTTTACCTCATGCCTGGCAGGCCCCGAAGCAATTGCTGCCTTGCACATTTGACCATTGTTTACACAACATAGCCGCGCAGGTTCAGCTTTGCATGCCACGGTTCCGGCTGAGTTGAAGGAGCAAAGGCTTGTTTGATTTCACAATCCTGCCATCCTTTGAAACAAAGGATGAACAGTCCTTGCCAGTCCTTGCCCGGGAACTACATGCACCGGTCGTCGCGAACCCGGCCAGCACCCATTACCGCGCTAACAATGGTAAGAAGCAAGCAAACAAGAAAGCAAGCAAACAAGCAAGCAAGCGCACAAACAAACAAAGGTTAACAAACAAAACAAACAAACAACCAAACAACCAAACAAACAAACAAACAAACAAACAAACAAACAAACAAACAAACAAACAAGCAAACAAGCAAACAAGCAAACAAGCAAACAAACAAACACACAAACACACAAACAAACAAACAAACAAACAAACAAACAAACAAACAAACAAACAAACAAACAAACAAGCAAGCAAGCAAGCAAGCAAGCAAGCAAGCAAGCAAGCAAACAAACAAACAAACAAACAAAATAACAAGCAAGCAAGCAAGCAAGCCAGCAAGCCAGCAAGCCAGCCAGCCAGCAAGCGAGCGAGCGAGCGAGCGAGCGAGCAAGCAAGCAAGTGCTTTGCAAGGTGTAGGTGGGGTGTCTGATGTCACTGAAGGGCCGCGCAAGTGTGTGCAAAACTGCTCTCCACCAAACAACCCAGCCCGATGAGTTCCCTCGAGCCCCTTTTGCCGCACCCTAACGCGCCAATGCTGCCACTGTGCTTCGGTCAGCGTCCAAGTATAACAGCGTTGTCCCAGTCTTCCTTATGCCCCACCTCGCAGAGCCTGTCCAGACCGTTGGGGCTACTACTGAGCCTCAAGTTGGCTTCCTGCAGCCAGTGGGCCAAAAGCTGAGCCAGTAGTTAGCTACGAGGTCGACGACAGAACCTGAGGCATGCGTTGCCTCGTCCCGCTCATTTCGCGCAGTAGTGCCGAAACCTGAGTGTGAAATTGCGATCCCATTCCCTGTCTAGGCGCCGCGCCAGTCCAGCGTTCACTGCTCCTAGGCACGGGAAGAGACGCGAAGTCTTTTACGACATTGACCGTCACCACGTTAACAATGGAACCAAACACACAAACGAACGAACGAACAAACAAACGAACAAACCCACAAACGAACGAACAAACGAACGAACGAACGAAGCAACAACAACGAAACACAAACAAACACACAAACAAAAAACAAGGAAGCAAGTCAGCAAGCCAGCCAGCAAGCAAGCAAGCAAGCAAACTAAAGTAAGCTAAACTAAACCAAACAAACTAGCAAGCAAACAAACAATCACAGAAACAACGACACCAATAACCAAAGACACAAAACCAAGAAACCAACAAAGACACAAACAAGGAAACAAACAGGAGACTACCCGTTGGGGGAAGGTTCAGGGTATCTTTTCTTGAGTTGTGCTCGAAGGTACCCGATTTTGGGGTTCCTCTAGTCGGAGCAAACATGACAGAGTTTGCCATGGCTCTTTCGCTCGCGAAGGAGCGCCGGTTATGCTGCCAGGGGGCGCTTCGGCCTTAGCTGGCGATCAGGCTGGGTTTTCTGGGAGTAGGAGGGTTATCTCAAAGTAGGGCTCCCCAGTTGTTTTTCGGTTTCGCTTTGAATCCCCAAAAAGGGACCATAAATAAGAAGAGACACCCACATAGGTATCTATCCAAAGATTCCTTAGAAATGATGAGGGACGTTGGCCAAACCTTCGTGCTCTTGCTAAGTGTCCCAAGTCAAGCATTCGCATCTCCTTGGTTGCCGGAACTTCAGTAGTTGCCGCTGCACCAGTTGCTTTGACTTGTCCCTTGACAGTAGCCTCGCTGATGCAAGTCCCACTAAATGCCGGCTGCAGCATTCATATGCGCCTTAGACGGTTCACGCCACTGCGCTTTGCAGTCAGAAGCACGGGCGTATGGTGCCTGAAGAAAGTCTGCCACAGCTCAATTTCACAACCATATGATTTGACAGGCGCAGCGACCTCTTCTCCTGTGGGTTATCGTCGGCATTGTGTGTTGCAATGCTTGATGTCCGTTTGGCTGCGTTTCAGGGAGCAATTGCGCAGTTTTCAAGTATCAGCCAAGGTCTGGACGGAATTAGCTGCCTGCAACAACTGCAGCCAGATGATATTAAAATCAGCTGCTGGGCCCTTGGAGTCGCAGACTCGAGTGCCTACAGCAATTACGATGGCGAGGCTTTGATCCACCCGGGTTGTTGAATGGAGGTTCACCCTTTGCGCCAGTTGGTACCCTGGGAACAACACAACCCAATCGCAGCTTCAGGCTGGCCATGAGGTGTGGACACAAAGGTGCGGGTCTACAAGGATTCCCACACGATTGGAGCCACAAAGAAAACCCGGACAGTCCCAGCCGGAAATGGGTGAGCCCTTTGCTTTTTTGCCAGAGGTTTTGGGTGGTCCCCTGATGGTACTAGTGGCCCCAGGCCAATCACCTGGCAGTTCCTGTGAAACACAACGGTGGCACAACACCCAAGACCGTTTTCAACATGGGCGTGCCCTTTTTTTGGTTTCATTTTTTTAAAGTGGCGGGGCCCCGTTGTCCCTTGTCTCAAGCGGAAGCCAAAAGAAAGCCGATTTTCGAGCCCCAGGTCTACTCCGTCCGCGAGCGCATCCCCAACGAGGAGGGCGCCGGCAGACCGGGTCACACTTGGCCTCAAGTTTTGAAAAGGACAGATGAAGGACAGATGGCCCCACCTTGCTGTTCCTCCCTTTTGGGCAATTTGCCCGAGGTTTCTGAGAGCAAAGTGACTTTTACGCGTAGGTTCCTGAGATTTCGGGGCCATGCCGCCCATTTTTTGTGAAAGTCCAGCGAGCTCATAATCTCCAATTGTGGCCATGGCCCAACTTGAACAAATATAATTATGTATATATATATATATATATATAAATATGTTTCAGGCCGCACACACATATCAGGAGTTGCCTGCCAGGGGTCAAGGCCGGGATCCGGCTCAATGGCAAGCGCAAACTTGACAATGGCGTTGTGCATTCCACGATGAGATGTGTGTTTTGGCTTCACGATCAAGATGCTGCGCAGTGTTAACATGCGGTAGATCGCTGTTTCCCAACCCTGCAAAGAGTGCTGCTTGAGTTTGAAGCTGACAAACGGGGGTCCATGGCGCAGATGACAGCCAGAGAGGTCAGTTGCCCGTACTTGGGGTTCCAACTGCTGTCAGGCTGTTGACTTCTGACTTCAGAAAATATGGTTGCCCGTATTTGTGCCAACAACCCTCGTGTTTGACGTGTAGGAACTCGGATACAAAGATGTGCAGGCCGTGGCAACTGCTGGTACGGCAGAGGCTGCCGAACTCAAAGCCACAAGCGGCGCCGGCTGGATTGTGTCGTTGCTTCGAAGGAGTCCTTTGGAGTCCTTTGGAGTTTGAAGGTCCCATGGAGTTGAATCAAACTCACGGATTCCCCACATCCGCCTCTAGAAGCACGATAGTCCAACAAAAAAATCCACTGAACTGTTCTTTTCAGGAACGGGCAAGCCATGTTTGGTCTTTACCGGGCGAAACGATGGATTTATTGTGACGGCGTGCGTTCACATCACCTCCACGGTCAACAGGCCTGGTTGCTTTGGGGAGGTTAGGCATTGTCCACCTTAGTTTTTATGGCCTTGCAGCTTTGACCCTTGAGAGCGCTCCAAAACGTGAGACACGCCAGGCGTCATCATGCGGAGCGTCCGACCCTCGAGCGAAGTCTAGCCTTGAGCCATTTGAATCCCGGAATCCAAAGCTGAGGCCTAAATCATATTTGTGAGCAGACCCGCTTCTCGTGAGTTGGAATTGCTTTGCTCTTGAAACGCGTATGTTCAGCTTTGTACAGGACATGCTTTGCATTGAGCTGCGAGCCAAAAGGACCACGAGCCGCAGCTGACGCTTTGGCCTGGCCTCTCTCAACCGTACTTGACCAGACTCAAACATCCCCATGCGGAACAAGA